ACCGGGCCAGCCCAAGGGAATTTTTTGTTCTAATTCAAAGATTTCTTTAGGGAAAAAGGACCACTGGAGTGGGATTCCATGTTCTCTGTGGATTGTGCACTGACAAGAAAGTAGGGGGTGTCAGACCTCATTGTCACAAGGCTTTACGGCAGATCCACATGCCTCCTCCCTGGGGCGTAACCGTGGCTGAGAACAGTGGTACATTTTTTTTTTTTTTTTTTTTGACCGGCAACAGATCACAACCCTTGGCGTTGCGCCCGCACCTCGCTCAGCCAGTGAGTGGCCAGTCTGTACGTGGAATCCGAACCCTCAGCGGGAGCGCCGCCGCACTCCCAAGCGGCGCACTACAGCAGTGCGCCACCCGGCCGGCCCCAACAGTGGTACTTTTTAGGGGTGGTTATAATTGATTTCAAGAAAGCCGTAAGTGATTAGAAGGGCCAGCTTTGGAGCTGGGCTCCCTGCAGTCAAATCTCAGTGTTGGCACTTGGTGGCTTTGGACAGATTGATTAATTTAGCCAATTTTCCCCATCAGAAAAATATGGGTATTCGTAGGACCTACTCTTATGGAATTCTGCTGAGGATTAGATGTTAATAGGATGCTTGGAAGCTGGTAAGCATTCGATAAATGTTAGCTGTTATTCTAACACATCAAACCATTCGAAGTCATGGATAATGCCCCATTCGGATTCACTTCTTGACACTTGTGGGACCATCGCCTGCTGTGCCAGTCCTCCTTAGCTTCCTGGATTGTGGGTTCCTTAAAGGCAGGGACTGGATCCTACGCATTTTTGCACCCAGGAAATGATTTCTCTGTGCGTTGAGTAAATTAATCAAGGCTTTAATAATGACTTATGTTTGAATTAATGCTTGGCAGTAAATGAAGCACTTTTTTTCCCGTTGTCCTCCTTGAGGCAAGGTGGTTGCACACAAGAGGCCTGCAACTTGAAGCCTAAAGCGTGTGCCAAGGTCTGGCGACTGGCAGGTGGCGTCACATCTTGTGGTTCTTACCCTGTGCCATTGCCACCAGTGCACCTTGTCTGGAAGGAAAATGCTGGGTTTTGCAATTCACACACATCTTAGATTCTGTTGTATTTTACACGCTGTGGGTGCCTGCGACTGTGTTCTGCAAGTGGGTGCTTGGTCCCACGGAGGAGGAAGTCATTTCTGCATCCCCTTTAACTGCACTTGGTTTCATGCAGGTCACCACCAATGGCCTCATTGCCATGAGTGAGCCCCCAGCTGAAGAATCCCACCCTGGGCTCTTCCCACCCACCTTTGGTGCAGTGGCACCTTTCCTGGCGGACTTGGACACGACAGATGGCCTCGGGAAGGTTTACTACCGCGAAGACCTGTCCCCCTTCATCACTCAGCTGGCAGCACAGTATGTCCAGAGAGGGTTCCCAGAGGTCTCTTTCCAGCCCAGTAGCGTGGTGGTTGTCACCTGGGAATCTGTGGCCCCCTACCAAGGGCCCAGCAGGAACCCTGCCCAGGAAGGCAAGGTAAGCAGCACTTCCCCGGGTACAAGTGCAGATAGCCTGACATTGGGTTTGCACTCTTTGGGTCTTCTGGTTTGTGTGACTCTGATGGGCATCATGCCTACATTATGGATAAACACAGGAAATCCAAAGCAAAATCTAGAAGGCTGGTCATCGCAGGTTTCAAACTTTCAAAAGCTTATCTACGAGGCTGTATAACTCCAGCTTTTGATGATTAGATATAAAGAAAGCCAGTTCCTGAGAAGACCAGCGCCTGGCAAGAAAGGGGTTGAAAGATGCCATCCCCTGGCTGTCCATATTTCAGGTGGTGGAAGGGTAGTTTCTAATTTAAACAGAGAAGATATTAACAGGAAATGAGAGCTGAAGAACTAAACACAAGGTCCCAGACTCTAGTTGGGGTGACAAGAGCCTTTTGCTGCGTGGTTCAGGACACGAGTGTTATCACAACACAGGGGACAGGAAAAGCTCGAAGGACCAGGCTGCAGAACTTGCACTTGCCCTCGAAGGGAAGAGAGTACGTGAATAGGTCCAGATGCCATCACTAGACCTGAAGTGACTTTTTAGGACAGACCTCAATTTTTCCTTGGAGATCCAATTTCTCTCTACCATTATTTAAATTTTATAGGATTATGGAGTAGGGAGAAACTTGGAAGGTCCAAGAGAACTCCATAGAAATGGGGGAGGTTCCAGGCTGGTAGTTCCCAATGCCAACCACAGTACACCAGTTCTACAAGATAGTCCTGGAGGAAGAGGCCTCTTCCTGGCCAAATTCACTTGGGAAATACTAAAACTCTGTCTGCCTCTTGGTGACTCACTCTGGAAAGTCTTGCAGTAGAGAAACCTGCTTTGTGCTGTTTAACTGAGCAGTCGCAAACCTTTTGGCCATCTCCCTAACCCCACCGCACCCCAAATAGGACACATTATATCCCAACAGAACACACTTTGGGAAAGGTTGTTATGGGCCTGCATGATACATTGGCTCAACTGTTATCTATCCAGGTGACATACTTGAAAATGGCTTGAAACCTTAAATTTTTTTAATGCCTTCCTTTCACTAAATGCCCAATCTCTTGGTACCGAGCCCTTGCCTACCTCTGGGGCCTGATCTGTCACATGCTCTCAGCAGTGCTGTACCAAATGATTCTGCAAGTCCTTGATCATGCCACCCTCCCCCACCCTGCCATGCAGTATCTTGCATGTGCTGTCCTCTCTGCTTGGGTTGTCCTCCCCTGCCTCCTCCCGACAGGTGGCAAACTCCTCCTTCTCTTTCCTTCAGACTTGGCCCTTCTGTGAGGCCTTGACCCCCTGGACCACCTCCTACTCCCCCACCCCTCCTAGCACTTGGCACTTTCTCCTTCAGCTTCTACAGTGCTTGGCACATATCTGTCATGAATCCATCCCCTGGTCTTGCAAAGTTCTGGTCACATGTCAGTCTTCCTGTCTAGACTCAAGTGCAGGGACCTTGCATTTTCCATCTCCACATGCACAGAGCAAGAAATACTCTCTGTGCTGGGTGATTCATAGCTAACCTCACGTAACATTTCTATGAAGTAGGTGGTTTTCTCTCCATTTTACAGATGCAAAAATCAAGGCTTAGAGAACATAAGTATCTTGCTCTTGCATAAGCTCTCCCAGCCAATAATGCCGTGGAGCCAAGAGTTGGACCCAGGTCTCTTTTCTCCCAAAGCTTGTGTTTTTTCCTTCTGTATGATGTTCAAGCCCAATGAATGTTTGTTAAATGATGAATGTGGTTGAAAATGTTTAATGGCTGTGGAAACAAATTCTGCAGCTAAGGATTTCCTACGTTGCATGACATCTAGGCCACCGTCTGGAAGTGCCATCTCTATAGTTTTTGGTTAACCTTGGGGTTGCAGATATGCAGAAGATATTCATTAGCTAATCATAAAATTTCATGTTGGCATAGCCTTAGAGATATTCCATCGGAGCTATCTCAGAATATTTGGTCCTTGCTACAAAAAGTACTACTTTTAGAATAAGGTGAGAATACTGCCATCTGTTTACAGCACTTTTTATGCATAGTTTGGTGAGTAATGCATTTTCAGATCTGTAGATATTTCCTAAGTAACTAAATGTTAATTCATTTTTGCAGAGAAACACATTCCAGGCTGTTTTGGCCTCCTCCGATGTCAGCTCCTACGCCATTTTCCTTTACCCTGAAGATGGCCTGCAATTCCATACAACATTCTCAAAGACAGACAAGAACCAGGTCCCTGCTGTGGTCGCATTCTGTCAGGGCTCCGTGGGATTCCTCTGGAAGAGTGACGGAGTTTATAACATATTCGCTAACGACAGAGAATCAATTGAAAATTTGGCCAAGTATGCTTTCATTGTCTTTTCAGTAGATTCTCCCTTTAAGAATATTACTATTTTAGGGTAAATGTCATGGGTGTTATAGATCATCCCTCCTAAAAATGTTCCTACAGGTTTAAATTTTGTATATCATTTTTATGTTATGAAATACCATTTTCCTGCTGAGCTTAAGGGAATCTACTCTTAGAATGAACGTGTATCCATCCTACTTTTTAGACATCATCCTTATTTTTTTGTTTTTGGTTTTTGTTTGTTTTTGGTTTTTTTGGTGGCTGGTACAGGGATCCGAACCCTTGACCTTGGTGTTATGACACTGCTGTCTGCTGAGCCCACCAGCCAGTCTAGATATCATCCTTATTTAAAACAGTTTCTACCATTTCTTCTATAAGGTTAGAAATAAAGGCATTCAGGGGCCGGCCCAGTGGCGCACTGCTACAGTGCGCCGCTTGGGAAGCGTGGCAGCGCTCCCGCCGAGGGTTCGGATCCCACATACAGACCAGTTCCCACTCACTGGCTGAGCGAGGGGCGGGTGCAGCACCGAGGGTTGAGATCCCGTTGCCGGTCCCGGTCCAGTACGGGTGCGACACTGAGGGTTGCAGTCCGTTGCCAGACACGAAAAAAGACAAAAAAAAAAGAAATAAAGGCATTCAAACCTGTCTCCTGCTATGAAACCAAGGCTAAGAACCTTTTAACCCCCACGTTGACTAGGGTGGAAATTCTTACAGCAGAGACAGTGCTCTCTCTCAGGTTATTTTGTAGAATTGGGCAAAAGAAAGAAAAGCCCAGACTGGTTTTATAAAATTAAAATCTTTCCTCTCTCATTATTCTTTAAAAAGCAAAGAATGAAATGCCGCTTCCCAATTTCTTGCTGTCAAATGTAGCATAAAATTCCTCTGGCCTTGACTTCACGGTGTGCTGGTAAATGCTTAACAACTGGTTTTATGAAGTTAGGGGGAGCCCTAGGTTACAGCATTTGCCTATTTCCATGGAGTAAATACTCCTCCCATAGCCAATTTCAAGTACTAACGTCATGTTACTCAGTGAAGAGTTGAGAAAAGATGCTTCATTATATAAATTTTCACCGTCAAGATCCAGTAGACTTAAACAACTTCAAGAACATGGATACTAGTAAAAGAATTAGGATGTAATGGGCTTTGAGTATTTCTTGCCTTTGAAAAAAATATAATTTATTTAATTGTAAGTTGATATAATTCAATTTTTTTGCAATGGCTTTGATTAATAATTGGCTTGCAAAATTACTAAAAATTTAACAGCAGGCTCTCGTGAGCTNAATAGAGTAGGGATTTCTAATAAGCCATGTCTGAACTGTTTTCATTCATAACACATGACACCAGATGTGTGGGGTTTTTTCCCCACATGAACCAGTTCTCCAGACACCAACTGGGTGTCCTACGATTCAGTCCAGTTCTGGCACTAACTACCTGGAGTTAGTGCAGGTACCACAGGTTAAGGGCTCAGCTTGCCCCCACTTTAGTGCCAGTCACAAGCCCTGCCTTTCCACCTGTACTTCTCACCAGCCCGCTATAAATCAGAGGTTTCCACGACCCCTTCCTCAGGTTCAGTTCTTTGCTAGAACAGCTCACATGACTCAGGAGAGCACTTTACTTACCAGTTTATTATAAAGGATATAACTCAGAACAGCAAAATGGAATAGACGTATAGGGCAAGGTGTGGGGGAGGGCCAGAGCTTCCATGCCCGGGTGTGCCATGTTCCCAGCTCCTGGACATGTTCACCAACCCCGAAGCTCCCCAAACCCCATCATTTAGGGGTTTTTATGGAGATTCCATGATGTAGGCCTGGTTAATTAAATCAATGGACATTGGTGATTAATTTAACCCTCAGCCAATCTCCCCTCCTTGGAGGGAAGGGGTTGGGGTTGAACGTCTAAGCCTCTAATCAGGGTGTGGTCTTTCTGTCCAGCAGCCCCCATTCTGCAGCTACCTGGGGGCCCCCAGCCACCAACCATCACATTAACATACAAAAGACATTCTTATCACACCAGAGATTTCAGGAGCTCTTGTTTTAGGGGCTCTTGTGTGGGGAACCAGAGACAAAAGATCAAATATATATCTTCTATTATATTCACACATTTGTTAAATATGTCAGGGTGGAGAACAATCTTCAACACTGAAATAATAAAGAATAAAAGAATAAAGGCAATCAAATTGTTTTTATGTGGCAGGCAAGTTAAAAGTCTTTTGCGTGGAGCATTAGACTTTTACCAGAACTTCCATTTTTGCAAAGTTGGTAACCTCTTTTCTTTGCAGGNCCTGTTCTTAAAGGAAAAGCTTTCAGCTTTTCCCCATTCAGGATGATGTTGGCAGTGGGTTACAGTATTTTATAGTTGTAAAATGCTTTTGGATTTTGCACCTTATTTGCTTTTCACCACACCTTTTGAGCACAAAAGGGTAAACCTGTCCCAGATCCCACACCAATAGAGTAGGGATTTCTAATAAGCCATGTCTGAACTGTTTTCATTCATAACACATGACACAAGATGTGTGGGTTTTTTTCCCCACATGAACCAGTTCTCCAGACACCAACTGGGTGTCCTACGACTCAATCCAGTTCTGGCACTAACTACCTGGAGTTCGTGCAGGTACCACAGGTTAAGGGCTCAGCCTGCCCCCACTTTAGTGCCAGTCACAAGCCCTGCCTTTCCACCTGTACTTCTCACTAGCCAGCTATAAATCAGGAGTTTCCATGACCCCTTCCTCAGGTTCAGTACTTTGCTAGAACAGCTCACATGACTCAGGAGAGCACTTTACTTACCAGTTTATTACAAAGGATATAACTCAGAACAGCAAAATGGAATAGACATGTAGGGCGAGGTGTGGGGGAGGGCCAGAGCTTCCATGCCCGGGTGTGCCATGTTCCCAGCTCCTGGACATGTTCACCAACCCAGAAGCTCCCCAAACCCCATCATTTAGGGGTTTTTATGGAGATTCCATGATGTAGGCCTGGTTAATTAAATCACTGGACATTGGTGATTAATTTAACCCTCAGCCAATCTCCCCTCCTTGGAGGTAAGGGGTTGGGGTTGAACGTCTAAGCCTCTAATCAGGGCGTGGTCTTTCTGTCCAGCAGCCCCCATTTTGTAGCTACCTGGGGGCCCCCAACCACCGACCATCACATTAACATACAAAAG